AGAATAAGAATGTTCGAAGGTGTTCGCAAAGATGGCGTCTTGACAAAAGTCACAATGATCAAGAGGTTCAAAACAGTCGCCAAGAGACCACTAAAAGCATTGATGACAATCAACAACACAAAAGAGAGAGTGTCGACCACTGATGTTGGTTGTTCAATCATGGAGTTGTTCATCTCTCTGTTCAATGTTATTTCCTCAGCGATTTACGAGTTTGGTCTTCACGACAATCAATAATAAAAGCTGTCTTTWCGATAGTCGACGAGTAAGGGTTTCTTGCTACTAACTCTATTCTCTTGCGATGAACTTGATGYGTCTGYCTTCTCYGGGTGACATGTAGGAATAGGAAAAAAGTGCATATTCCTAAAACGAAGTGGTCTTTTCTACACAAAATCTCTATCTTAKTGCTGCGCCAGTAGTATTCCAAGTAATCGAATAACCATGCTATGGTAGGTCACTACAAAGCAATCTTTTTTCTATTCACTCTTTTCAGTAAAGTAAGTTATCCCATCTACGTGTATCTGGTCGACCAAAACTCTCTGAGCCCATTTAAACCATATCTAATTCGCTGTCTTTTATCTTGTATAAATGTAAGTTTWCAATAACCAATAACTCGCTTTGAAAGTTCATATATGATGAGTAAGTTTCAAGGCTACCTGATTGGAGTTTGACGTACTTGAAGTTTGTATGTAATAAAATAAGCCAGCTGCCGTTATAACCGTTATGTCTAGTGTCCATATTCTCGACCGAATCGTCCTGACACAGGATTTCACAATAATTCTATGGTTTTCCCCTCGGAAAAAATAGTAGAATTCTGCCTTTAGATAGTAGCGACTATGACTTGTGGAGAAACAAACACTGCATTTTTTATCTGGGTTCTCCTTTCTTTCTTTTTTGTAAGATAGAAGTTCGATTTAATTAAATCTCAAGTTCATCTTGAAATGTAGTTTTACTATTTTTAGTGTATTTGACAAGTACATTATTTGCCCTGGTGCGACGGTCAAGCTGATGGTGACAATCATTATGAATAAAAACAAACACTAAAGAACMGCGCAAACGTTTTYAAYAACACTTGTTTCAACATAAGTTCACGGCGATGTTCAACGCGTTTACGTAGTGCATTCAACGCGCCTCGACATTCCTGAAACGGGTTTAAGGTGTTTCGATCGTAATAAATAGCGCTTCGCGCGTATTATTAAACTCCAATTACCGGTCGCAAATTTCGATTCCATTGCACTCAAATTTTCACAGAAGTAACAGTGATTATCGATAATTCTTGTTGATAAATTAATTTGCCAAAAAGCGAAGCCATTTGGATAAACGATGCAAAATAAAAACACCTTCATTTTTCTTCAAAATTAATTTTCTCGAAACTCATCRCAGAGATTGTAATAAAATTTTCCCTAAAATTTCGAWTTGTTCGAATGTACATCATTTTGCTCAAACAACTCGAGATTTTTTCAAAATCCGATGAAAATCACTTCATTSTCYATTGTTTTTATTTGATTAATGCATCTTGAATATTAGATTTTGTCTCACGGGTTTAAACTCTGCAGCTGTTATTATTATCGTTGTTATTGTCATTGACATTGCCATTGTTGTTGCTATTTCTATTGTTATTGTTGTTATTGCTGTTGTTGTTCTTGTTGTTGTTATTGCTGTTGTTGTTGTTGTTGTTGTTGTTGTTTCTTCGAAAAGATCGCAACAATTGAAGAGCAGCATTTCGCATGTCTTGTATTCTCCAGAAATATATGATTGGATTGATACTGCTGTTCATAAAGAGAATGGTATTAACCATTATCAATGCAGTAAACCCTCGGATCAATTTAGGCATAAAGGAGATTATAATCCAAATACAAACTGACGGGGAATAGCATATGCAAAATGTTCCAAGAACGTAATACATAATATTCACAGATCTCTTGATGTTCCCCGCTGTACCAGGCTGTGCGTTCATTGCCTGCTGTTGAACTTGAATTTGCGCTGCATGTCGATTGATTATACAAGATATTTGCACCATAAGAATGATGTTTATCAACAAAAGTGAAAGAAATGAAACATTTTCAATATGATAAATTACGATAGTCCCTTTTCTCATGAGAAGAAATAGGCATGTCCACAGCACACTGAATGTCCAAATCATTATTACCACCATTGATATGCGCCTCGTTGTGACAAGTTCTTGGTATCTTAGATGTAAGTGAAGAGCAAGGAATCGGTCGACTGTAATGGCAGTTATTGTCAAAACTGACGCCCACATCAATATCACGGAAGCTGGATCCAATACTTCAAAAGTACTTTGATATAAAACCGTGTCGTTAGTCATAAGTGAGAAAAGGAATGTACAGTGGACAGGCTGCACCAGAGTACCAACACCAAAGTCTGTGATAGATAGACTAAGAATAAGAATGTTCGAAGGTGTTCGCACAGATGTCGTCTTGATAAAAGTCACAACTATCAAGAGGTTCAAAACAGTCGCCAAGAGACCACTGAAAACATTGACGACAATCAACGAAACAACCAAGTGAGCATCGACCACTGATGATGGTTGTTCAATCGTGGAGTTGTTCATCTCTCTGTTCAATGTTATTTCTTCAGCGATTACGAGTTTGGTCTTCACGTCAAACAGTAATAAAAGCTGCCTTTTCGATAGTCGACGAGTAAGGGTTTCTTGCTAATAACTCTATTTTCTTGCGATGAACTGGATGTGTCTGCCTTCTCTGGGTGACATGTAGGAATAGGAAAAAAGTGCATATTCCTCTCTACACCAACTGCTGTAAACAAGATGGTCTTTTCAACACAGAATCTCTATCTTATTGCTGCGCCAGTACTATTCAAAGTAATCGAATAGCCATGCTATGGTAGGTCACTACAAAGCAATCATTTTTCTATTCACTCTTTTCAGTAAAGTGAGTTATGCCATCTACGTGTATCTGGTCGATCAATACTGTCTGAACCCATTTAAACCATATCTAATACGCTGTTTTTTTATCTGGTATAAATATCAGTTTTCAGTAATCAATAACTCGCTTTGCAAGTCCATATATGATGGGTAAGTTTCAAGGCCAGCTGACTTTGGAGTTTGATGTATTTGAAGTTTTTATGTAATAAAATAACCCAGCTGCCGTTATATCCGTTATGCCTAGTGTCCATATTCTCGACCGAATCTTCCCGACACAAGTTTTTAAAATAATTCTAAGGTTTTCCCCTCGGAAAAGAATTCTGCCTTTAGATAGTAACAACTGTGATTTGTAAAAAAAACACTGTTTTCTTTTCATCTGTGTTCTCCTTTCTCTGTTTTCGTAAGATAGAAGTTCGATTTTTAAAATTTTTAAATTTTTAAAATTATCTCAAGTTCATCTTTTAATGTAGGTTTACTATTTTTAGTGTATTATTTGACAAGTACATTATTTGCGCTCTACAAATACTGCGACGGTCAAACTGATGGTGAAATCATTGTGAATAAAAATAAACACTAAAGACTCGCGCAAACGTTTTCAAAAACACTTGTTTCAACATAAGTTCACGGCGATGTTCGACGCGTTTACGTAGCGAGTACGACTCTGGAAGCAGGGTAGAAGTTTATTAATTATTGCGAGAACACTCAAGCAGTTATTTTAAAATCCGATGAAAATTACTATTCATTGTCCATTATTTTTATTCGACTATTGCATCTTGATTATTAGACTTTATTTCACGAGTTTAAACTCGGTAGCTGTTATTATCATCATTGTTATTGCCATTGGCATTGCAATTGTTGTTGATATTCCCATTGTTGTTGTTATTATTGTTGTTGTTGTTTCTTCGAAGAGATCGCAACAATTTAAAAGCAGCATTTCGCATGTCTTGTATTCTCCAGAAATATATCATTGGACTGATACTGCTGTTCATCAAGAGAATGGTATTCGCCATTATCAATGCAGTCAACCCTTGGATCAACTTAGGCATGAAGGCTTTCATAATCCAAATACAAATTGATGGGGAATAACATATGACAAATATTCCAAGCACGTAATACATAATATTCACAGATCTCTTAATGTTCACTGCTGCACCAGGCAGTGCGTTTATTGCCTGCTGCTGAACTTGAATTTGCGCTGCATGTTGATGAATAACGCAAGATATTTTCAGCATCAGAGCAATGATAAGTACCAAAAAGGAAAGAAATAAAAAATTATCAACATGCACAACAACGACAGACATCTTTGTTAAGAAAAGAAATAGCGATGCCCACAGAACAAAGTAATCGAATAACCATGCTATGGTAGGTCACTACAAAGCAATCTTTTTTCTATTCACTCTTTTCAGTAAAGTAAGCTAGGCCATCTATGGTATCTGGTCGATCAATACTGTTTGAGCCAATTTAAACCATATCTAATTCGCTGTCTTTTATCTAATATAAATATCAGTTTTCAAWAACCAATCACTCGCTATGAAAGTTTGTATATGATGAGTAAGTTTCAAGGCTACCTGATTGGAGTTTGATGTATTTGAAGTTTGTATGTGATAAAATAACCCAGCTGCCGCTATATCCGTTATGCCTATACTCGACCGAATCGTCCCGACACCGGGTTTTTAAAATAATTCTATGGTTTTCCCCTGGGAAAAAAAATTGAATTCTGTCTTTAGATAGTAACGACTATGATTTGTGAAAAAAAAATTCATGTGTGTTCTTGCCTTTTTTCTTTCTTTTTGTTAAATAGAAGTTCGGTTTAATTAAATCTCRACTTTATCTTGAAATGATCTTGAGTATCTCGATGCCCATTGGACATTCACTTCAACGCTTGAATGATCCACTCTTATTAGTCTAGGATATTATTATTCTCATGTATTCCCTGACGATGCTGTAGACAGCGAAAGCTCGGATTCTTAAAATATATTTACTCCATCACAGCAGCCCTGGCTACATTTGTATATATTTTCTTCATCACAATCATGCTGCTAAAGGATAACTTTACTGACCAACAGAAATGTAATGTAAAAATGCACATTGAAAGAATGTGTTGGAATATGGCRACTGTSCTTTCTCAAAAATCTATATTCAAAACCATATCAAAAAATGATACTGTTGGCATTTCTACACATGGAATCTCATTGTTTGCTGTGGCGTTCCTATTGTCTTGGGGTAATTTGTCATAAATGTAGATGCTGCAGGCTTTGAATGTGACTCTCTCTATATAATTAGGTATCTTATGAATCGCCTTATATGTGTGTATAACTATATATCTATATCAACAACCTTTTTGCAATGGACTCTATATTGTAGGTATTGTGCACCTTATATAAGAATACTGACAATGGTGAAAAACGCACTGCGCATGTCCACAGCTTTCCCGCTGAAATCTGCCTAATTTTCTTTGTAAAGCGATTTTTGTTTTTTACAATTTAGAAGCTCGTTCACCGATATATAAGATTCATATTTCCATCAATCATTGTTCATGATAGGTTCTTTTAGTATGTATTTTCTACATTTATCTTGTTATTTCTACTTTGAGAAAATGAGGTTTTTCGTAGTGTTTTCTGTGTTGTCGCTGTAAATCGCCAGGCGCTCTGTTTACAGATTTCAAGACGCGCGTGCTCACTGGAGGGAAAGCTGTGGGCATGCGCAGTGCGTTTTTCACTGGTGTCAAGAATACTTCCTTCTATAACAAGACACATGGAGACCTATTTTTGGAAATATAAAATTCTTCGTTTTCAAGTTACGTCACAGCGGCCATCTTGAAAGAACTTTAACAAAGAATTTCTCATTAGTGTCTATATTGCTCATTTCTCCAACATGGCCGCCGGTCTTTTATCTTTTGAATCCCATGACAATGGTTGAAAACAAGCAATAGCGGTATAATCCATCTGTTTCCTAGCTGTTCCCATTCAACTAGTACCAAACACAATATAATCTCCCGTATCGTTCCAGTCGCCCCAAAACGTTTCATATATATAATAAGCAATGCAAAAAAAAAAGCTTTTTTTGAGTTTGGGTCTCAAATGCCCTAGAATGCGTCTTGTGGAATGTTTAATTTTAAGCACTATCGTAAYGTTTGGTTGTGCAAATACATGTCAATCTATTACTTTATCTTGTATCTGATGTATAATTAAACCAACGATTAGTATTCTCAACCAACAATAACCCCCTGAACACTAGACTAGAACTCTACAAACACTTACCACCTTTATCACTTTCACCACCACTACTACCACCTTTATCACTTTCACCATCATTCACAGATGCAATCTTGCCTTTCTGCCGAGTGAAAGGGACTCGTGCTGGCGATTTCTTGTTTTTTGATGGCGTTGAACGTCCTAAAAGTAATCAAAATAAAATTTGAATTGTTTCAAACTCCAAGGACTTGGAAAAAATAGAACAGAAGTTTAGAATACGACTTATAGAAATAAAACACTGTTAATCAAAGAGCAGAAAAAGGTCTTGTCGCTATTTAATAAAGAACACTAAAACTTTAATAAAATTTCAGTCTAACACCCTGTTTTTTTTTTATTTTTTTGCCTACTATGGGGTGTCGAGCCGCGAGACGTCGAAACGTTTCAGTTGATCGATTTGTTTTGACGTAAAAACGATCTGATCAACAGAAAGGTCTCGTCGCTTGGTGCTTTGACAAAATATTAAGCAAAAGAATAAAAGACGAGC